TCTCTCTCTCTCTCTCTCTCAAATATATTCTTACTGATTCAGAGAGGAAGGGAGAGGGAGAGAGATAGAAACATCAATGATGAGAGAGAATCATTGATCAGCTGCCTTCTACATGCCCCGTACTGGGGATCAAGCCCACAACCCGGGCATGTGGCCTGACCTGGAATCAAACTGTGACTTCCTGGTTCATAGGTAGATGCTAAACCACTGAGTCACACCGGCCGGGCTCAATTCTTATTTATAAATTCATTCCAAGGACATATACAGCTTGAAAAGCTTTGGAAGTAGTTTAAAAAAAACTAGCTTTTAAGTAACAAGAAAACAGTTATAGAAGAAAGTTTAAATTAAAAGAAAAAAATTGTTTTAATTTATTCAAGAGTGGGAACATCCTCCATGAAAATGTGTACCTTGACTGTGGATGGCTGGGTGGCCTTATCACACCTTAGGAATTCAAATGCTTTTTACAATGAAAAGAAAGAGAGTTTCATCTCATTTTTCTACCAGGGTAGATGTCTGTCAATAGAAGGTGGACATCAATAAAAGAAGGGGCTTGCACAATCAGTCCAGAAAGTCAGCAATCTATGAATAATCCAGAACCGAGTATTTATCTCCTCTGCCACACACCCTCCCTCCCAGCCAGTGAGCAAAATAATTACTCTCAAGTCAAGTGCCCCACTCGTCACAGTGGCTCAATGCTGACATACAAAGCATACAAATAATTCTCACCCTGGCATAAAAGTGACAACTTTCTTGGAAGAAAAGCAGATACTGTAAATTTCTCAAAGTCTTCCTGAAACACTTTTTAAAGTAATTTTTACTTCTTTAGAAAAAATGCATACATGGCAAACCATCTGTAATAAAAGGCCCATTCTATAAAGTTTTACCTGGCCCTACTCCTATCTGCAATCATAATAATATTTACAGACAAATATATCTATACCAATAAAAGAGTAATATGCTAATTAGACTGGGAGACCTTCCAGATGTTCTTCTGGACAAAGCCATGGTGGCGGGGCCGAGGTAGAGGCGGTTAGAGGCCAAGAGGGGAGGAGAGTTGTGGGTGATCAGGCTGGTGAGGGGTGGGGCCGCTGGGGGTAAGCAGACCAGCAGGGGGGCCAGTTGGGGGCAAGCAGGCCATCAGTGGGTGTCAGTTGGAGGTGATCAGGACAGCAGGGGGGCGGGGGAGGATTTTGGAGTGAGCAGGCCAGCAGGGGGACAGTTGGGGATGAGCAGGCCAGTGGGGTGGGAAGGTAGGGGCAAGCAGGCCAGCAGTTTGGGGTGATCAGGCTGGCGGGGGTGCATTTGGGGCAAGCAGGCCAGCAGGCGGCGTGGTTAGAGGCAATCAGGCAGGCAAGCAGGCAGGTGAGCGGTTAGGAGCCAGCAGTCCCAGATTGTGAAAGGGATGTCCGACTGATGGTTTAGGCCCGATCCCTATAAACTGGCAGTAGGACATCCTTCGAGGGGTCCCAAATTGGAGAGGGTGCAGGCCAGGCTGAGGAACATACCCTCCCCTGCGCACGAATTTCGTGCACCAGGCTACCAGTGTGTGTGTGTGTGTGTGTGTGTGTATACACATGCATACATATATACATATATATACTGTATATATACATATATACACACACACACACACACACACACACACACACATATATATATATATATATATATATATATATATCCTCCTGCAAACACAAACAAACGATAGCATACTAAAGTATAATGTCACGTGATTTGTTCATCAAAGAATATATAAGGACAAGTCTGAGGAGACAGTAGTTGCTAGAAATATGAGGTGTTAGAAAACAAGAGGTGTGGTCATGAGTAAACACTATAGCCTTTAAGAGCCACAGACAAACTTCATAATAAGAATACATTTTATGAAGCATTATGAAATCATAACAACACCTTTCTCCCAAATAAAAAACACCTTTCCCCATAAAGTTCTACATTTAGCTTTAAAACATCCTTTCCTAGGTATTTACGTTTTTTTCTTTCTTTTTATTTTCTCCCTAGGTATTTATGTATGTAGTGTCTACTACCTGCTGAGTTGAAAAAGCCCCTATGTAGGAGCTCATCTTTTTAATTAATTAAATAAATAAATAAATATATATATATATATATATATATATATATATATATATCTTCTACACTAATAAAAGAGAAAAATGGTAATTGGCGTACGACGCTACCCTTTTCATTGGCTAATCAGGGCTATATGCAAATTAACTGCCAACAAGATGGCGGTTAATTTGCATATGTAGGCACAATGCAGGGAGGCGAAAGGGAAAGCAGGAAGAAGCCCCCTGCCACTGACAGTGATCGGAAACCCAGGGGGGAGCTAAGAGCTGGGGGGAAGGGCAAAGGCGGCCCTAGGGCAAAGGCTGCCTTTGCCCTGCCCCCCAGCCATGATCGGAGAATCAGGCGCCTTTACCGCCCTGGCCAGTGATAGCAGGAAGTAGGGGTGGAGCCAGCGATGGGAGCTGGGCACGGTCGAAGCTGGCAGTCCCGGGAGCTAGGGGTCCCTTGCCTGGGCCTAAAGCGAAGCCCACGATCGCGGGGCCGCTGCAGCTGCGGGTCCCCACTGCCCGGGCTGGACACCTAGGCCAGAGGCATTAGGCCTGGGCAGGGGCGGAGCCTGCAACCGCGGGGAGCTGGGGGTCCCCTGCCCAGGCCTGACACCTCTGCCGGAGGCCTCAGGCCTGGTAAAGGAGCCGATCTGGTGATTGGTGATCGGAGGGTGATGAGGGTCAACTCCTCTGGCCGAGGCATCAGGCCTGGGCGGGGGGCTGGGGGTCCCCTGCCCAGGCCTGATGCCTGGGCCAGAGGCATCAGGCCTGGGTGGGGGGTGAAGCAAGCGATCAGAGGGAGATGGGGGTCCCCTGCCCAGGCATGATTCCTAGGCCAGAGGCCTCAGGCCTGGGCGGGGGTCAGAGCCAGTGATCGGGGGGAGATGGGGGTCCCCTGTCCAAGCCTGACACCTCTGGCGGAGGCGTCAGGCCTGGGCAAGGGGCCGATCAGGCGATCGGAGGGTGATGGGGGTCTACGCCTCTGGCTGAGGCATCAGGCCTGGGGAAGGGGCAGAGCCAGCAATCGGAGGGGTCTGGGAGTCCCCTGCCCAGGCCTGACGCCTGGGCCAGAGGCATCAGGCCTGGGCTGGGGCAGAACCAGTGATGGGGGGAAATGAGGGTCCCCTGCCCAGGCCTGACACCTCTGTCAGAGGCGTCAGGCCTGGGCAAGGGGCCGATCCTGCGATTGGAGGGTGATGGGGATCAACGCCTGAGAGCTCCCAGTATGTGAGAGGGGGCAGGCTGGGCTGAGGGACACTCCCCCCCCCCACACACACACACCCAGTGCATGAATTTCGTGCACCGGGCCCCTAGTGTGTGTGTGTGTGTGTGTATGTGTGTGTGTATATATATATATATATATATATATATATATATATATATATATATATATATATATTATTTCAGAGAGGCAGGGAGAGGGAGAGAAACATCAATGATGAGAATCATTGATCAGCTGCCTCCTGCACGCCCCCTACTGGGGATTGAGCCTGAAACCCGGGCATGTGCTCTTGACTGGAATCGAACTTGAGACCCTTCAGTCTACAGGCCGATGCTCTATCCGTTGAGCCAAACTGGCTAGGGCAGGAGCTCCCCTTTAAAAAGGGAAGCTGATGGATAAGGAGACCATTATAGGTCAGTGTATGGTTTATTCATGGCAAAAAACCCCACAAAAAACAAAAACTACCTTTATGTGACACTATAAGGAAGTCAGCCATTAATTCATTTGTGCTCAAGCCATATATTAAACTAAAAGAATCCTAATCCAAATAAAAATCATGAATTGCTGTAAATTGAGTACAGAATCAGTAGTTAAGAGCATGGGCTCCGGACAGTGCTGTCTCTTGGACAGAGTTCAGAAGTGGGCCTGGATTAAATGTTTTTTCATCAGACTCTTGAAATTGTTAATACTTTTATCTGTGAAGTTGAGTTTTGTGAGTGCAGTGGAACATACATCAAGGGCTTACATACATACATCCTCCCATTTGGGTTCTTTGGCTTCCCACAGCCCTGTCTATGCCCAGCACAGGCACCCCTCCCTGATTGCTGGGGCAGGGCTCCTAGGCACCTGTGAGGGAGTGCACTAGCCCCACCAGGATTCCTGTGATTGAGGGAGCAACAGACTAAATACCAATAAGAAATATGACAGGCCAATAAACCACGAAAGAAACTTTTTCCTACTTTTTGGATGTGGGGGTCTGCATTTTCATTTTGTACTGGGCTCCTCAGATTACAACCAGCCCCGGAGTCCTCCAGTTTCCACATCTGCAAGATAAGAATAATTGTTTTTATCTAATTGGATTTGCTACTATTTTGGAGATCATGTGTCCCAGTACTTGATTCATGTTACGCTCAGTACTCCGGGTGTTAAGTATTAATCAATCTATTACCTAATTCATACTCACTCCCTCAAGTCTCCTCTGCCTGCAGGCTAATACTTTAAATTTAATATCCATTCCCACAGGCGGCGGCAAATGTGTGTCCTGGTTTTGCTTTACACGTTCATTATCTAATTAAACTTACAGTGTGCAGGAAAAAGATGTTCATGCCTAACTTATAACGTGCGGCTGAAACAAAAAGATATATCTAATAAGGCGTGCAAGAATCTTCACATGTACTAGATAAATCAAAATTCAGAGCAAAACCTAGTGATTCAAGTGATGCTTTTAAGAAAGCTCTCTCACCTCCACTGGGACAAAAAAGACTAAGGTCCTTACAACGCGGGCCCAGTCTACAAGTGAATCCAATAAAACCAGCATCTTGAAAAATTCCTTTACAAACAGATCGCAGAGCGCCCAGGGGGCCACTGCTCACGCCTGGTTTCCATAGGAACACGCAATTCCGGCGCGCGTAGCCCTCTGTTCCGGAAGTTGTCCTATCTCAGCGCCTGTGTCCCTTTGATTCAAGCGTTTGCGCACACGACTGAGGAGTTTTGGGCCAAAGAGGCCACCGTTGAGGGGGCGTGGCGACGCCGACGGCAAAGACGGCCTGTGTTCACGTGCCTCTGCGGACCCGCTCCCTAGATCAACCATGGCCCAGCCCGGGACCCTGAACCTCAATAACGAGGTGAGCACCGAGGTCTGGGGGCCTGTGGGGATGACCTTGAGGGCCTTCGAAGGGCTCTTCTACGTTTCTCTGAAGGGCGCGTGGTCTGGCCGGGGTGAGGATGGGAAGTGCGGAGAGGAGCCTGCAGAGGGGCCCGGGCTGGTGTCCGGAACTCGGCGGATGCAGCGGTAACTCCGCTTCAGGTTTCTAGGTGGCTGAAGCTAGAGACGTATCCCTGACGTCTGGACCCGGGAATTTGTGTCAGTGGGACTTCGGGGGGTTTATTTTATGTATATATATTGAGCGCCCTCCTTTGTATAACTAAACTCAGAGTATAGTACAGGTTGTGAGGATTAAATTAACTGGAATACGTAAAGTGTTCGCACAGTACCTGACAATCAGTAAACTCCCCGTACACGTTACCTACCGTATGTAGCTTTTCTTAAGAAATTGCTGACCCCGTATGAGGTCATATCTTTTATGAGGATGTATGCTCAGTACCTCATTTCCTCCTTCAGAGAAAGCCCCATTTCTTTGCTTTCATTTACAGCAAAACTTTAAGAGCTGTTTATACTTGTGGCCCCCAATTCTTCTTCGCTCGTGCTAATTCCAGTCTCATCAAACATTTGCCTTCATCACCGTAGCGTGCTCTTGTCACTAGGCTACCGTTTCTGCCACTATTCTCTTCACAGTTTTTGCTTCTATTCCAGGGAGTCATAAATCATCTGGAGATTAAACTTAAGCTGGAAAAGCAAGGTTCAAATTAGGATCTCACAGCTACAGCAAAAGTAGTTCTTTGACTTCTTTATTCAGTGGATACATGTGTCTGCTGTAAGCTGCTCACAGTTTATATTACACCGTTGTGTAAGGCACTTTCTATTTTCAAGCAACTTACACCAGGTAGGAAAACTCACCTATGATTCAGAATAATGCCCAGGAAAACTGTTAGTACAGAAAAGTTTCCAGAAAAGGCAAAGCGAAGTGAGTGCAGCATTTGTTCTTGAGATTTAAGAATCTTAGGCAGGAATTTCAGGTCACTGATTCAATGAAGGGGAAGAAGGCATTCCAGACAGATGGACCAGTATAAGCAGAAAAGGGATGGTAGTAGGAAACCGCTTGGGTGGTATAGGAATTGAAACTCTCCGTTGATGAGACATTGTGGGATGAAGTAGGAAATGAAACGGAAATATATTACTTCCTTACTGCCAGGCCAATAAATCTGGGTTTCACTTGGCAGTGGAGTACAGGATTGATTAGAGAGGGAAAGATTAAAGATGCTTCGCGTATATTTATCAACATATGATAAGCTTGTGTTATTTCCAGAAAACATTTAGTGGGCCTTTTTGCATTAGGGTATAAAAGATCTAATGGGAGGTCTTGTGAGTTCACTGGAAGTACTAGTGAGTTCCTGCTCAATTTTGAAATTACTCTGAGAGTAGTAATGACATATGCCACTCCTCATTTAAGGCTCTTTCTTTTTTCCATTGAGTTTATTTCCAGGCCTCTTCCAAATAAATTTTGACCTTTAGGAAGTCTTCACTAATTCACCTCAATCTGGGCTAAGTATCTCTGTGCAACTAGAGTGCTTTCTACTCTGAAAACACCTCTTTACCTGTTTCTCTTTTTTTGTGTGTATGTCTGTCACCTACAACATATGTGCTCTATAAATGTTTGCTGGATAACTAAATGAACTTATCAAATTGGAAGCTTACATTATCACACTACTAGGTGTACCGGTTAATAATGGCAGATTTTGTAATCAAAGAAAACATGATAATTTCAAGAGAAACATCAAAAGTGCTTTATTCAAAGTAATGTCCATCGCTAGCTACACATTTCCCCCATCTTTCAGGTAATTTGTGGATACCGTCCCAATAGAACTTTTCTTGTTTTGAGGCAAACCATTCAGAGACCCAATTTTCCACTTCTTCGTACGTTTTGAAGTGCTGCTCAGAAAGTGCGTGTCCCATCGATCAGAACATGTGGTAATCTGAAGGAGCAAGGTCTGGTGAATACAGCGGGTGGGTTAATACTAACCAGGCAAGATCTTTTAATGTCTTTAACTGGTTTTGAAGTGTGTGATGGTGCATCATCATGAAGCAAGATTACTTTGCTGTGTCTTCTGGCACATTCTGGTTGTTTCATGATCAAAGCATGGTTCAAATTGATTATTTGTTGTCGGTAGTGACCAGTATTAACAGTTTCACCTGGTTTTAGAAGCTCATAATACACCACACCTTCCTGATCCCACCAAACACAGAGCATTGTCTTCTTTTCGAAGTGATTTGGCCTTACAGTCGATGTTGATGGTTGACCTGGATCAACCCATGATTTTGTGCATTTGGGATTCTCAAAATAAATCTACTTTTCATCGCCAGTCACAATTCGACACAAAAATGACTTTCTTTTGTGCTGTTGAAGCATTTTACTGATGACTTTTCGATTTTCCATTTGTCTTTCGTTCAGTTGATGTAGCACCCATTTTTCTTCTTTTAAAATCTTTCCCATCTTGCACCAGGTCATTGCTAGGTAAATACTAGTTCTTTATGCCCTGGCCAGTTTGGCTCAGTGGCTAGAGTGTCGGTCTATGGACTGAAGAGTCCCAGTTCGATTCCAGCCAACGGGCTCCATCCCTAGTAGGGGGCATGCAGGGAGGCAGCCAATCAATGATTCTCTCTCATCATTGATGTTTCTTTCTCTCCCTCTTCCTTCCTCTCTGAAATCAATAAAAATATATTTTAAAAAATAAAAAAAGAAAATAAAATTTTTCCCATTGCTTGTAAATGATCGGAAATAGTTTGCTGAGCAACGTTTAAACTTTCTGCAAGTTGTTTTTGAGTTTGACACACATCTTCATCCAATAATGCGTGTAATTGTTGGTCTTCACACTTTTTCAGTTGACCTGGATGTTCTTTGTCTTTCACATCGAAATCATCACTTTTATTTTTTTTTTATTTTTTAAATATATTTTATTGATTTTTCACAGAGAGGAAGGGAGAGCGATAGAAAGTTAGAAACATCGATGAGAGAGAAACATCGATCAGCTGCCTCCTGCACATCTCCCACTGGGGATGTGCCTGCAACCCAGGTACATGCCCTTGACCGGAATCGAACCTGGGACCTTTCAGTCCGCAGGCCGATGCTCTATCCACTGAGCCAAACCGGTTTCGGCCACAAGTATCTTTTTTTAAAAAATATATTTTATTGGTTTTTTACAGAGAGGAAGGGAGAGGGATAGAGAGTTAGAAACATCAGTGAGAGAGAAACATCCATCAGCTGCCTCCTGCACACCCCCCAGTGGGGATGTGCCCGCAACCAAGGTACATGCCCTTGACCGTAATCGAACCTGGGACCCTTCTGTCTGCAGGCAGACATTCTATCCACTGAGCCAAACCGGTTAGGGCCACAAGTATCTTGAGATGCAGCATTTTCACCATAAGCTTCCTAAAGTATACGATAACTTTTTCTTCAAAATAAAGTAATGAATTAAAACTTCCTGCAAATATTTTTTTTGCACAAAATTCAACATTTTTAAGCGTAGAAATATCTATAACACCTTCAGCAAATTTGACATATGAAGTTTTGAAACTTGCTGTGAATACAGCAAAATAGCATACATATCAAGTCGCATATATGTCAACATATATGTAACTTCATCTATTGAGAAAAATCCGCATTATTAACTGGTACACCTAGTAAAGTAAATCTTACATGTTCTAATATGAAGGTGGGGGGAAAAGTAGACATAATGGTATAATCTTAATGGGAGGAAAACTGCAAAGGGACAAGCAGATAAAGATTTGTCTGCATAAAATTTGAAAAACATCCTAAAGAGGGGAGGGAGACAAAACCAGTTAGGAAAAGAACTAGGGCAAATATGACAGATAAATGGCTAATGCCATTACTGTAAAATACCTCATGAAAATTAGGAGGAACCATCTCATAGAAAATTGGTAAAATAAATGGATTAACTCTTCCAAAGAAGAAATGTACCTGATAAAAAGTTCAAATTCACTGTTATCTTTCAGATTTTTTCATTACTACCCCTATCCTAGTCCATGCTATATCTCCCACCAGCACTACTGTACTATCCCAGTTACTTACCTGTGATTCTTCTTTCCCTCCAATCTCATCTCTGTAGTGCAGCTGGAGTGCTCTCTTCAAAACATAAATCTTACCTTGTCACTCCCTTTAATGCAGCTGAAGTATTCTCTTCAAAACAAACTTAATCATGGGACTCCCTTGCTTAGAACCTAGTTGATGATTTTCCTATTGCTTTTTGTCAAGACCTATCTAAATAAAGCCAATCTCTCCATCTTCTATTATACTGCTCCCCACCCCAACACCCCCACCTCTGTCTCTTTACTTCAACTACACTGGCCTTCCTCCACCATCTATCACAGGGGTGGGGAACCGTTTTTTTTTGCCAAGGGTCATTTGGATATTTATAACAACATCATTTGAGAGCCATCCAAAATTATCAGCTTAAAAATTAGCCTCCTATATTTGTTTAAACATTTAATTAACTCACCCCTAATACCTTGGCAGGACCAGATTGAATGATTTCACTGGCTTTGTACGGCTCTTGGGCCAGACATTCCCCACCCCTGATTTAGCACAGCATCTACAGAGCCTATGCTATTGCTTTTAACTGTTTCTCTCATTAGTCCATTTCATACTTTTTCAGGGAAAGCATTCTTGACCTTCATTACCCCTTTTATAAGCTCTTGTAGAACCATTTTACCTCATTTTAGAGGTAAGCTTGCAATAGTTGCTTAGTGTATATGTGACTGTGAGAGAGATTTCTATTCCCTCCACCTAAGTTTTTGTTCACTATCATATCCTCAGTACCTATCTGTTGAATGAGAATTTGAAGCATCATTTTTATGATCCTTAGTAACTTAAATTAGCTCTCCTTAACTGAGATCCAAGAATGTGTTTCAGGGATCCTCTAACTGCCAGAAATTATGTGTAATTTTGTGTTTGTATGCCTGTCTCTGAAGGGTTAAGAGTCCTTAGGC